CTGTGTTTCGTTTGTATTTTTCCCGATAATCTAAATATCTATTGACCCATCTCTGATATTAATAGTATATTGTTAAAAAGACAGTAATGTTTAATAAACTACTGAATACATGTCAACCAATAATCTCTCTCAATTTCAATCAGGCTTTAGAAAACATATCTCACCTCCATCTGCATTATTAAAATGATTATTAAACTCATGTTTATTTTTATTTCTTTCTGGTTTTAGCATGAACTCGCTTTTACTGGAGCTTTATAAATTGATCTCATAAAAGCAGTTGATCACAATCTGCTTTTAGACAAACTCAGTCTGTCTCCATAGGTCCTTGTGGTTAGCAGTTACTCTAAGTTCTCTTCCATTGAGAGAGGTGTGCCCCAAGGTTCATCATTTGGGCCACTTTTATTTCAAGTGTTCATGAATGATCTTCTTACATGTAAAGTCTGTAACATACAACTCCATGTTAATGTCGCAGTGATTTATGTATCCAAATTAACATTCAAATTGACTTCATTTCAGTTCAACTCTGGCTACAATCTAACAAATCGTTACTTAACAAATCCTTGTCCAATGGTTCGACTCTTCACTGTCATTTATCCAGCATACAGACAATCACAACCATTGAAATTACATAACTTCAGTTTTACAGTGAGGAAAAGGATTCTTCACAGTTGATTCTTCCCAACCTTGATTAAAGAGATATAATTAATCAAAACACTCCTGCATCAGCCCTCCAGCCTTTTGTCTGCTTTAATGTCCCCCTCACTGTATCTGTCATTTTGTGCTGTTTTAAAGACCCTGAGATGTTTAATCTCTAGGGGCTTATCCTCAAAACAATTAGATTAATGAATAAACAACGTATACTGTACACACACACATACAGACACACATACACATACACACACATACACACACACACACACACACACACACACACACCTGTGATCTGCTGTGGAACATTCACTAACCAGGGAAAACGCCTGTGTTCAGCTGCAGTCGTCAGTTTCACACATTTCTTTTCCGGAGGACGTGAAGTGTGATCCTCGCGCCTCATCCTCCACTTGGCATCAAACGCCTGCTCTGTTCAGAAGCATCACATCTGCCGTCGCAGTCACACCTTCAGCACAGCTCCAGGACGCCACGGTAGAGAGCCGCCATGAGGGTTTGTCTCATACCGTTCATCCATCTATCTCACTATCTATCTTTATCCAGTGGTTTGTCCCCTCTCGTGCTACTCGCCAGCTAAAGCCGAATTCAGCGTCAGAAGGCTCCTGATTGGTCGGTCGTGAGGATTCATGTGTGGATTTACAAAGAGAATATCACAATATAAACACCAGGATCATAGTGACCGATAAAGAAGGGTTTCAATCCCAAAATGGTGAGTGTGACACAAACGGTTACTGAGCTAGAGTACTTTTGAATGTAAGTCAACAGGAGCCAGAATGAGTTGGAGCAAAACTAAGAACCTGAGCACTTCCCTATTGGCCGTTATTGAGTTAGCGGCTTTGTCCATTGATATACAGTTAACAATTTACATATTAGTTGATAGTGATTATTCACAAACCTGCTATATCATTCAGTAAAGGCTTAAGACCTTTATGAGACCAGTGGAATCTGTGGAAAGTTTTTTTTTCTCATGGATTCAGGAATTACAGGAGTTAGCTCAAAACAAGTCCAACTTTTGACACTCAGCAGTTAGTAAGTAAGTAAGTAAGTTTTTATTTATATACCGCCTTTTCACTGCAGATCTGAGTCTCAAAGCGGTTTACAATTGTTAATTTTGGGCACTTCCTCTCACTCCACACAGAGATGGGAGCGGGGTCGCCGAACAGGAGGCGCATGCCAGATCTATTGTACATATTTTTAGTGGTAGGGGAAACCAGAGTACCTGGAGGAAACCTACGCAGACACGGGGAGAACATGCAAACTCCACTCAGAAAGGCCCTGGTCCGACCGGGATTCGAACCCAGGACCTTCTTGCTGAGAGGCGAGAGTGCTATCCACTCAGCCACCGTACCGCCCTAGCAGGCCGCCCTAGCACGCTCAGTTAGCAGGAAAGATTACTACATATTTTATTATACCCTCTCTGGAATGTTGTGATGTCACATATACAAAACCTTTTTCAGAATTGTGTTTGTTTAAACCGTACGTACTGGTGACTCAGCACTATCCTGCTCCTAGTGCAGACAGCTCCTCAGATGGTGCTTCCTCAGCTGGATTATCTCGGCTCTCAACCTCACGCCTCCATGTTTTTATGGTCTGTTGCTTGGGGTCAATGTTTGTTTAAACTAGGAAGCACAAAAAAGATGGAGGATGAAGATGAAGATGATGAAGATGGTGATGTCGAAGATGATGAAGAAGATTATGATGAAGATCATGATTATGAAGAGGATGAATATGAAGATAATAATAATGCATCGGTTTTATATAGCGCTTTTTTGGACACTCAAAGACGCTTCACATGTGTCATTATTCTCTCTCTCCAAACACGGTGGTGATAAACTACTGCTGTAGCCACAGCTGCCCTGGGGCACACTGACAGAAGCGAGGCAACCAGTCTGTGCCATCGGCCCCTCCCACCACCACCAACCATTCACACACACACCAGGTCTGAAGGTCGTGGGTTCAATTCCCACCTCCACACCTTCTCCACCGACTCCCACTGATGACTGCTGTCGTTGTGTCCTTGGGCAAGACACTTAACCCCACTTTGCCCAAAGCCCCCACTGAAAGATCAAGGCTATGCTCACACTCAGAGAGCAGCCGTCCTCCTGTGGACTCACCACCTGCAGAGGGTCAGTGAGGGGCTGGTGCTATGAGACTTGGGTGGCATCTCTGACTGCCACCCCCCTGACCCAGAAATGGATTAAAGGGAAGAAAATGGATGGATGGATGGATAATTTGGAGGACAATGACACAAGTCAAACTACTGTCCTGTCTGTGCGCTGCAACATTGACATTTCCCCACTGTGCCACGAATAAAGGATCTCTTATCTTATCGACGTCAGATGCGTGTTTCACTATTTTCCTCTGCGTCAGTACGTATCATGTTTGGCTGTAGACAGAAAAGCCACAGAAAAGTGGACTATTGCTAATGCTACCAGCATAATGTAGATATAAATGTGCTCCAGTGTGAGGGGATGCATTGTTAACGATAATGATAAAGATCATGTAGGGTGAATTTGGGCAAAAATAGACATTTTATTTAATCGATAAAATTGACTGGGGGGAGAAGGTACGGGTCAACATCCAGTTAGGCGATCCTTAACTTCTCCAAATACCACTCTTTGTGAGCCCTGACCTGATGTCCTACTTCCACCTATAACATAATCAAACATGTGCTTGAAGCAGCCACTTCTGGATTTAGGAGAGGAAGCTCCGTTTTTAAGAGTTGTGTCCGTTTTGTTCTCGCAGCAATGCTAATGCTAATGCTAGTTTCCAATACTTCCGCCGTAAGCTCATTCACAATCACGTGACTGGATACAGATATATCAGATATAGAACATACAGATATATCATCTTCATGGTGTTTTATCAAGAATAACTCCACTTTTCTTAAGCCGAGGTCAAATATAACTTGCGACATGTTTTCTGAGGACACATAAAAGATGAAGATGAGGTGACTAATCTCTGGAGCCAATTTCTCCGTAAGTCCTTTGTCAATCCACATCAAACTAGTTCATCTTTGAAGAGAACGACAAAGGAGGCGGCGTCTGGGGTCGTGTTCAGGCACAGAAGACATTTTGTTGATGTTAAAAAGCTCCGATCAGCACCTGCCACGGCACCAGCAGCTTCAGCATTCTGATAACCAAAACATCCAAGTGGAAAATCGCTGAGTTCTGCAAAGTCGCGTTCCCACCGGATCATGTGTTGCAGCGAGTTTCAGAGCAAAGCCAATGGTGACGTCGGCCCATGTGAGGAATTGCATGTACTGCTCGCACTTGTGTCCGGCGCGGCAGAGGCAGTGGGCACGGCGGCTAGATGCATAAAGCAAAGGCAGGAGATGAGAGTCACGGAACATCCTCCACAACACTTGCAGAATCCACTCAGAGAGAAAGTGGTCACAGGGACACAAGCCGGTCAAAACAGGAAGACATAGACGCTCAAAAACAACCAGAACATGAGATGAACCCGGATTAAACCAGGGCTGACAATGGTGAGCGCGGTGCTTATGAACATATGTCTTCACCCTGAGCAAACATTTTACTGTGACTGTAAACAAGTACTGCTAACGTGTTGCAGTTGAAGTACCGGTTATTAAACACATTAGCATCAAAGCCCGCCCCCTGCGGTTTTCCCCGTCGCAGTACGACAGTTCGACTAAACTCATGCGTCTGAAATGTAGTGAACACTCGTCCGTGCCTCCATCAACGCAGTCCGTGCTTCGCCGACGGGAACCAGGCTTCAGAACGATGAGTACAACTTTAACCACAGTTGCTTCAAAAGTTTTATAAAAGATCCAAATCTACTTTTCATCAACTATAGTCTCATTATAATCTCATAAAGGGTCTAGAATCGATGACAATATTCACAAACACATGAACATAATGCGGGCCAGGAGAGGGTTTTTAAACACAAGAAAATAATCACCATCAAATAATGACCCGGGGAAACATGGCTTCTTTCCCATTGAGTTGTATTGACACATTCCCTCCAACGGAAATAGGGCTGGATCAGAGGGAAGTCTGGCAGAACACGCCTCACTCTCTCTGGTCTTAAAGTGCAATCATTAGCACTTCATTTGAGTGGATTGTCTTAATCTGAGGTGACAGACACGGTTCAGTATCTCAGTCTGTCAGGAGGACGCTACACTGACTTTCATTAAAAACTCACAGGTGGCTCTCGCAGCTGCTGCTAACCTGTGTGAGACCATTGTTTTATCAACGTGACTTATTGTGACTAACCATGAATGTATATCTTGAGGACTTTGTGATGTAGAAATACCTAACTTCACTAATATTTGTGTTCTGGAAGCCAAGAGCAATATCACTTCAGCACAGAGCTCAGACCCTGGACCGTCTGAGGGCTCCAGCCTGGACCGTCTGAGGGCTCCAGCCTGGACCATCTGAGGGCTCCAGTCTGGACCGTCTGAGGGTTCCAGCCTGGACCGTCTGAGGGTTCCAGCTTGGACCGTCTGAGGGCTCCAGCCTGGACTGTCTGAGGGTTCCACCCTGGACCGTCTGAGGGTTCCAGCCTGGACCGTCTGAGGGCTCCAGCCTGGACCGTCTGAGGGTTCCAGCCTGGACCGTCTCAGGGTTCCAGCCTGGACCGTCTGAGGGTTCCAGCCTGGACCGTCTGAGGGCTCCAGCCTGGACCGTCTGAGGGTCCAGCCTGGACCGTCTGAGGGCTCCAGCCTGGACCGTCTGAGGGCTCCAGCCTGGGCCGTCTGAGGGTTCCAGCCTGGACCGTCTGAGGGTTCCAGCCTGGACCGTCTGAGGGTTCCAGCCTGGACCGTCTGAGGGCTCCAGCCTGGACCGTCTGAGGGTTCCAGCCTGGGCCGTCTGAGGGTTCCAGCCTGGACCGTCTGAGGGTTCCAGGCTGGACCGTCTGAGGGTTCCAGCCTGGACCGTCTGAGGGTTCCAGCCTGGACCGTCTGAGGGCTCCAGTCTGGACCGTCTGAGGGTTCCAGCCTGGACCGTCTGAGGGCTCCAGCCTGGACCGTCTGAGGGTTCCAGCCTGGACCGTCTGAGGGTTCCAGCCTGGACCGTCTGAGGGCTCCAGCCTGGACCGTCTGAGGGTTCCAGTCTGGACCGTCTGAAGGCCACAAAACCTCGCCAGTCTTATATGTATCAAATTCACAATCTTTATTGGGAGAAACAACAGTATATGGAGCAAAACTGCCAAAATAATGAGTAAATATTGAAGGGTCCACATTGGCAAAAAATTATTATGATACTACAAATACTGAGAATCAAAAATTTATTTAAAAAGTCTGTTTTGGGCAAAAAATGTATATATTTTTTCTTGCTACATTAATTTATGAATTTATATTTTATGTTATTATTATTTTTATTGTATTTTTTGTGCTCGGCCAAGAAGAGTGTTTATCTTGCGATTAAAGAATGTACGTTAAACTGACAGCCTTTTTTTACAGACTTGTCTCATTATCATCATAACATAATATTGTAATTGAATTTGTTCAAATAATCTAGTTTTGTTAAATGGAAATAATTATGAAAATGTTGAAAATGATTGTTTATCGTCATGTCATTTGGGCTGTGAAGCAGTTTGTGTTCCTTGTGTTGGGAAAGCGCTCTACAAATAAATGTCACTTGATTGATCAAAGGTTGGTGCACAGGAATCAGAGGGAACATTTTGGCACAAATGACTTGGAGGTTTTTGGCAGTTTTCCAAAGAGACCCAGTTACACCGAGCTCACGGATACGCAAACAATGTGCGTCATTTAAGATGCACATAACAAAGATATGACACAGATATGACATGCTTTGTAAAAAGATGTGAAAGTTGATATTTGCTGCTCGCACAAATCCCATAATGCTTTTTGGCTCAGGGGGTTCACTCCCATAGAAACTGTATGCAGTAAAACCCTCATGTGCGAGTGAGTCCTGATGAGAAGGATCGCAGCTACACTTTAAACCTCTGTGTTTAGAAACACTCGCCCTCTGCTGGACAGCCGAAGTACTGCACCATTCAAATACACAGAATATAAGGAATATGCATGAATTAAAATATCTGGATAGGGTATTACTAGCTTAAATATGTCTCCAGAATGGACTAGGGGCATGGATCTATTATAATATCTGGATAGGGTATTACTAGCTTAAATATGTCTCCAGAATGGACTAGGGGCATGGATCTATTATAATATCTGGATAGGGTATTACTAGCTTGCATCTGAAGCGCCCATGGGATTCTTGCGGTACTTCAGATAAAATAAAACTAAATTCACGTGGACTACTCAGAAATGTTCCCCATAGAACTCAATGTAAACTAAAACAGCTCGACCTCAGCTGACAGAGAACCTGACAGAGAACCAGACAGAGAACCTACAACATTCATAAAGGTCGGATTGTGTGGCGATTTTAGTCATCCTGAATCTTTTTTCCCACTTTAGTGCTCTGCACTGATCAGCAGCGCCTGATTGGTTAGAACGCTGCAGTGCATGTGCATGAGAGCCACAGACGCTTACTCGCTAGTATTTGGCGCAAAGCATCATGGGAGTTCGTCCACTGCGCAGAACCCGGAGGACCAGACACATGACCAAATATGGGCGAGTTCCGCTTATCTTTCGGTGCCTGTGGTCTCTTCATGCGCCACTGAGCACAAGCCTTTGATATGAATACGCAGCCATTTTTGAACGACGGGGCTTGACTAGTGGCCGCCCACAGAACTGCAGACAAACTCCAGGTGCATCATGGGATGTATATTTTACCCACAGACTTCAATGTTAACAGGGAACCTACAGCTTTCTCACAGGTTGGGTTTCCTCCTGGTGGAATTCAGATCAACTTTATGGAAGCTGTTTTGTTTGTGGCTGTCAATGGTGAAGTCAGAAAACCATCCCACTGTGGTCACATGTTTACACGTGGACTTTTATCTGCAGTATTTCCACCTCCACTGTTGGCTGTTGTTTTTTGCACTGCCCTGCCCTTCTAATCCAAACAGCACACAGAGAATAAACAGCTGGATCATGGTCTTCTTCAGCTCTGTGGACATACCGCAGAAGTCTGTGTAACTTCAGAATTCACTTCAGAGAATTTAAATCAATAAAACCATTGCTTGGAGCTTCAAGTCCGGGACAAGCTGCTCCCATTGAATTATGTAAAATAGTAGATAAGTAAAAATCTGTGGTGTAGTTGTGGCGCAGGTGGATGATCAGCAGAGCAGAAGGATATTTGGCTTTAATTACACATTTTAGATCAATGTTCACTCGGGGCTGGATGAAAACATCGGGCACATTGGCCTGACACGCCGATGGCTGCGAGCATGCGTCGATGAGCACAAGCCATGATTAGCACGGACGGACATCTTTGAAACCCAGGAGGAAAACCAGAGATTTTTCCTTTTTCCTTTTGTTTAAGATTGAGTTTGTTTACATCATGCTACAAAAGTATTTCCCATGTATTAGTTTTGAAAATATCTCAAGTGAAATGACATTCTTTACAATCAAATGTGTTTGCAGCCAGGATTTTTCTACATATATTTAACTGGTCGCTCTGGTGGTGGCACAGAGAGTTACAGGCGGAAAGAATTTTTTACCCTTCAACAAATATTTTTGACTTTTTTCCACATTCTAAAACATGAAATGACAACATCTCATCATCATGTTTAATGGCTAAAAATAAGTCTTCTTTAATTATTGTATGTTTTAAAGAAGCAATATGTAAGATTTCCATGTAAAGTAGTGGCCAAATGTACCTCCAGCCTCTAGATGTCACTAGTGCTGGATAATGTCACACCTGTGTGTATTTGAGGCAGGTAATTAGTGCCACAGGTGTTGCATGTTTGAGGAGGTTCAGTCTCTTGACTGTGTTATTGAGCACATGGAAATAAAGAATGGAATTTTGTGCATATTTTTGAGTATTGGACTCATTTTTGGACCAGGAACACGTGTCTGAAATCCCACCAAACATTGCAACCTAGTGGTTCAGTGACATAGGGCCACTGAGCCTCTGCAGTCATCAATAAAAGCCCCTAATCTGTCATCATTAAAGGGCCCTAATCTGTCATAATAATAAACTGCTCTTTTCCAATCCTTCTTTAACTGATAACTGTAGTTCAGAGATATTTGAATTTCTAAATTACTTTTCCAGCCTCTAAATCTTGTTATTGTTTTCATTTCGATGTCCCGCCCTCCACCGTTTCACCAATCAGAAAGTCTGTGATCCGGGCGCCAGAACTCACAGCGTGGAGCTAATCTCACTGGTAAAGTACCATGTGGCGCAGAACTAAAAAAGGTCTCGTTATGATTCTCAAATCATTAACGACAAAACAAGGAATAAAACCAGGATTTCTATCTTTGTGAAAAAGGTGTTGGTTATAGATTTGTTGTTGACAAAACTCTTGTCTATTCAGCTGTTATGGTCCCAGCTGGATTCGTCTGCATATCTGGCAACCTGAGTCAGGGAGAGTGGGAGAGGCTGCAGTACCACTTTTGGCCACATGTTTACACACTGCTCCTTTAAGCTGGAGTAATTTTTTCATAAATACATGTTTTTGTCCCAACAGCATGAATCTGATAAAGTAACAAAAAGAGACGAAAAAGGCATTTGCCAACTTTTCGACCACAGTAAATTGAAGTCTCCTGCAGTTCTTTGGACATTGACGTTCATAAACACAGCGCTCCTGCTTCCTGCGAACACAACACCGCTCCCATCGATCCCATTTTTGTTGTTTCGAGTGTCGACCCAATTTGAAGTGTCCCGAGATGAGATGCAGTTGGACGGACAGGCAGGGGACAAAAATACCACAAAATGCCACAAATGTTGAGAATGGAGAGATGGATGTGTGGCCTAGTCAGCTCTACTGCCTGCTGTCATCTGCTGCCTCCTCACCCCAGGGCATTGTGGGAAATGTGGAACTCTTGGCATGTGTGTCGGAGCATATTGATGGAAACCCACTTTTGACTCATGCAGAAATGAGAGCATAGAAAGATGCTACAAGCCCAAGGAATGGACTTTTCTATTCCAAAGGTCGTCAGCTCGCTCACATATATATGTTTGTTTGAGATCTCATGCAAATTTAGACTTTAGCTCGAAGAAATATCCATTCGCTGCTCATTTTGAATGAAATGGGAATGTGATGCTTGTTGGGTGAAACTCGGAAAACCATTTACTTCTCACGATGTGAAACTAATGTATGATACTTACACTCAAAGTGAGATCTATCAAGGCTTTGTTTGTCATGGTGTTGATACTTGGCTTGAACACAGAAACACATTAACACGGGTAAAAAACCTCTCCGAAAATTAGAATCCTCTGAAAATGAACTATAAGCTGTAATTATCAACAATGTGTGAATGTAATGAGTCTATATCATATATTAGTTTCACTTTTTAGTTGAATGGGACAGAACTGCATCTGCCTAAAGTGAGGACTGACGCCAGGAAACAGTGAAATATTTAAAATGAAAGTCATTCTAAAGTCTGTACAATCACACTTTTGTTCCCAGAATCTCCTCCTGCCTGTAACCAGTGGGGGCGGGTCCCGGCTCAAAAATGACGTGCGCTGACATGCTGCAGTACCACCCCGGGCCTGTGGGGGTGGACCCAGAATAAGAATTAGCCAATGCTAACATATAGCATCTTCTTACCTCTGGAAAACGTCTTTACAGGATGGACCAAAAGTGTCTCTTGGGCCAAAGCTCCGTTCCACATGTGTGTCAATGCTGAGAGAGTGTTCTGGACCAGTCTAGTTTAGTCGCTGTGGACTTTAGAAGTCTCTCGTTTAAATGAATGGAGCTCGTGCAGCTGACGCATGCACAGATGTGTTTTTTCACATTTTCCAGCCCCCACGGCCATTTTGAATCACTCCATGAGAGCCCAATTTTTGGCCCATTCGTTAGAACGGCGGAGATAGACGTGACTACGTCCGTTAATTGTATATGCCTGTGACAGATAGAGCTCCAAAGCACTGATTCCTGATGCAATCCACCTGCTGGATTTTAGCGCTGTGCATCACGTATGAATACTTGTTTTTGAATCTGCTCTTGCTCCAACTGTGTGGTCTTTTTGTTAATGTTGTTTTTTTGTTTCTTATCTTAAAGAAAGTTGGAGCCAAAACCTGAAGCATTTC